CGACCCGTGTCTCCGATCGAGATACATCAACCTCTGCTACATACTCTTCTCCAACTGCGCACAATGGAGCCGATCGGGACCAACCGATCAGGACGCCCACTCGGTGAGGACCAGAAACAAGAAGCAAGTAAAGCAGACGCTCAAAGTCAACAAGAATACCAAGGACCGCACTGCACACCTACAGGACAAGACCAACAGACATGTCAAGAGTGCCCTACAACCTTCTAGGCATGTTTGAACCCAAGCAGTGTTGTGGGCGCCGATATTTGCCCCCACATGTTGTTGTGGGCGCTGCAAACTCCCATACTGCATTTAACACCAGAAACCCTCAGATGCCTCTCTGGCATCAACAGCAGTAGCAAAACCGACATCTCCGCCATACCAAAAGAAGACGACGCAACCTCCCACATTCATCTAACATTACACGTTGTTATGGCGCCTACAATCATCTTGTACCCACAGCGTAGGCAACAAGACTTAGCATACATACACACTCTCTCTCTCTCTATCTTGTAAGGCCATCCCTTCATCTATAAAAGGAGATGCACTTTCTCCCAAAAGGGGGATCACCACTCACACACCACAACAGAACCACTAGGTTCAAACCTCGAGCACACGGTCGAACACTTAGCACATAGCGGAGCTCCCGTCACTCTTGGCCCTTCGGACCAGAGTCTGACCGGACCTCTTGCACCCCCCCCATCTTTCTCCATTCCGTTTGTAACCCCACAGCAAACTTCAAGCACCTGGGCTCAGGAATAAAGTCACCGACCGACTCAAATCGGACGAGGGCACGCTGTTCGAACCAAGATAACCCCTGTGTCATTGAGTGCTAGGCCACATCCGATCACAACGCATTTGCAAAACTACAAATATTTATGTGTTGGTCACTTTCAAGCACCGACACTAAGTGTCTTGATCATCGAAACAAAATGGCTCCTACCACTTATACATTTGCCTTGAGCCTTTTATTTTCTTTTTATCCTTTTCCAAGTCCAAACATGTGATCATCATCATGGCATCGCCATCATCATGTTATGATCTTCATTTGTTTCACCACTTGAATGTGCCACCTATCTCATAATCACTTTGATAAACTAGGTTAGCACTTAGGGTTTCATCAATTCACCAAACCAAACTAGAGCTTTCACACCCGATACCCCTTCTTCCTCTTCCATTTTCTCCTTATTTCAATTGACAACTCGAGAATCTCCAAGAACATAAATTGTTCATCTACATGTGGCCTTCATCTTTGCTTAAAGGATCGAGCCCTCGATTCTCACTAGATCAGAGATCTAAACCCTAGAATAAGGGTAAGAAGAAACTAAACCCAGTGTGTCGCTTAGGGTTTGGAAACGTAATTGATTAACTATCTTGTGGATTAATTGGTGATTAATTATCAAGCAAACACTACAACCAATAACACCATTGCATAGTACAAATTTCATACTTTGAAATGATGCTAAAATTTGTAACAAGTTTATTTATGAAATTTATTTTATAAATCCTTCAAAATTGAACTCAAGCCAAAATCCGAGACAGCCAATTTGTCAAAGTGCTTGAAACTCAAGTTTGAATTCAAGGTTGGAGCTCAAATTTTAATGGTTTGACTTGAATTCATACCCTACACTTGACATTAGTGTAAAGTACACACTTTACACCTCAAAGTTTATTAGGTACAATTCCAAGTATTTTGGTGAAATTCAAAATTAAAAGGTCACAAAGTACCTTAAAGAATTTCGAGTTGTAACTCAACACACCACCATATGCATTGCAAAGCTAAGATTAACATTGATTTTAGTGAATGCACAACATGGTTAGTTATTAAGGACGATGTCGGTGTTTCAATCACCGACTAGTAAATTTGTGATTTCTGATTCTGGCCTTGGATGGTGTGCTTGGAGGACACAAGAATTTATATTGGTTCGGGTGGAATGTCCCTACGTCCAAGATGTTGTCTGCTGCTTTTTACCTAAGCACTAGTTTGTAGTAGGGGTTACAACCTGGGAGAGAGGAGAAGCAAGTCCCAAGTCTCGTGAAAGGGTCGAAACGGAGTTGAGTCTCGCCGAGCCTGCTCAGTGCGTGCCCTTCGTGGGGCGCCCCGCCTGCTTTTTATAGATGTAGGAAAAGCGCAGGTTACACGAGAGAGAGAGAGAGAGAAAAGCGAGTAGGAAGAAGGCCTCCGAGGTGCGGCGCCTTCATCTCCTTTACGCGGGTCCCCGGCCGGTCCAATAGATGATGACGGGACGGCCCACGTCGCGACCCTATTCATCACTAGCGCTTATACGCGCTGTCGATGGTCGTGGCGCCCATTCCGATCCCCGTGGCGGCATGGTTAGTAGGTACCCCGCCGGAAGTCGTACTGCGAATTAGGTAGCATAGTGTCGCAGACGCCCGACATTGTTGTTGGCGATGAGTCTCTCGTGTGGCGGCCCGTCGTGGCTACGGTGACGTCAAGACGCGCTTACTCCCTTTCTCGTGTCAAGTTTGACCTTGGGTTCATACTTTAGACCCGTAGTGGTTGAAGGCGGTATGGACCCGCTGGGCGAGAAGTGAATCCCCTTCGAGGGTCCTGGCGAGGCGAAGTCCGCGCCGAGGGGTTGGACGAGATGGAGCCCGCGCCCTGGGTCGGACGTGATTTGAGCTCGCTACCAGGGGTCTCGGCGAGGCAGAGCCCGCACCGTCGGGGTCGAGGCGACACGAGCCCGCACCTCGTGGTCAGGCGAGATTGAGCCCGCATCTTCGGTTCAAGAGACAAAATACGCCTTGATCATCCGGGCGAAGTTAGCGTTCATGAACCATCAGCCTCCTTCTTCCGGATATCCCTAATATCGATAACCCGATCGATGCTTATCAGCTGCTCGATGATGACATGATCAAGTTTTAATAATGCTTAACACCAGAGATGTTACAATAGGATCCCTCACCTTGATTCTTAGATGGGACCGTTTCACCTGTGTGTTTAGTTTCAAGAGATAAGTTTATCCTAATTTTTTGTTTAGGTGAAAGATTTTAGATGGATGGATAACACATATTTTTCACATCGTTAGCCGCCATTATCAATCGATCCCACTTGTCATCGGTGGCCTCCACCTATCACCCCCCTTGAATTTTTTCTCATTTCTCCTTTTTTTTTTTGCACGTTTATCTTCTCCGCATGACTGCTTCTTCTATCTCTTTTTCACAAAAAGAGCAAACAGTGCAAAAACAGCAACAACTGCACCTGCCTGTAGCCTTCCAAGAACGAACGTGCACCCAGACGCGGGAAAAGAAGTTGGTCCTACCTACCAGCTCATTTGTACGTACTGTATACATACAGTATAGATACGGTAATACCAAAATCGTACTCCAATATTCTAATAATGCAAGCAAGTTGGTCCATGCCATGTTCCTCTCCGTACCAGTTCAGTTCGGCGAGATCCACTCCCCAATGTCGATTCTTGAAACAAGCCGATTCTTTGGTTTAATAACCCCCACCCCAATGTAAGTTTTCTTGTAATTTCCAAATATGCCTTTGTGCTTGTTGGTTCGGACCTGAGAAGATTGTAGCCTGCATATCTATTTAATTTTGACAGTACGTACTGCTGCCCTGTTTTTTCAACTACACTTTTCCTTTTCCTTTCTTAATGATCATGTCACGTTTTCTTTGAATTACTGAAGATCTTTCTAAAAAATTGCTAGTGTAGAAGATCTCTCAACTGAACCCTAACTTTTAAATCATCAACTGAACTTACTAACACTCCCTAAAAAGTCAAAACAGCTTATAATTTGGAACGGAGGGAGTACTATATTACTAATCGTGAACTGAAGTTGTTTTCATACCAGACATAGTTTTTATCAATGATGTATGCATATTGAGTTGTGCGATGGCAGAGAAAATGACTTAGGCAAAGGCGATCGGTGATGAGCCTTTTTTAAAAAATAACGATAAGCAGGCAGGAGGTCCTAAGGTGGGATGGAGGCAGATCCAGGTCCAGAGGCCGTGGAAAGTTTATCGCTTGTTCGATTGCACAATCTCAGGGGAAAGTGCATGCCTTTTTATTTGGTTGAGGAATTCGTCAACCAAAAGCTGCCCATCGTGTACTATGAGCTTTTTATTATTTTATTTTAATTTCGTGCACACTTTTGATGATACTACTACTACTACTATTATTATTATTATTATTATTATTATATGCAGCGTGACAGATTAATTATGGTAATTAAGAGTGGGAAATAGTTAAGCTAATACTGATGCTCCTTTTCATTTTCGAGATTTGTATTATTATACCACTACGTGATGGAAGCTACGCGTGCAGCATCTTATACAAATTAATAATAAGTGACTCAAGAACGACGATAGTGACATGCTTATATATATATATATATATATATATGCTTATATATATATATATATATATATATATATATATATATATATTTGATTGCAAGGGGCCAGCGAGGGTTTATGTATATATATTTGCCCATGTTTAGTTGGGTGAAAGTTGAAAATTTGGCAACGGTAGCATTTTCGTTTTTATCTGGCAATTAGTGTTTAATCATGGACTAATTAGGCTCAAAACGTTCGTTTCGTAATTTTCAATCAAACTATGTAACTAGTTTTTTTTTGTTTATATTTAATGCTCTATACACGTATCGCAAGATTCGATGTGATGAATACTATAGCATTTTTTGGGAAAAGTTTTCGCGAACTAAACAAGGACTTTGATTGCAAGTGGCTGCCGCGGAAACGCTCTGCCCAAGTGCCCAGGGAGCGAGGCTGCCGCGGGTACCCTCCTGTGTCAGCGAGAGCGGATGGGAGGGAGCTTCTTAGCGTAGGCTGAAATGATGTTATTCACCACGCGACACCAGTGCAACTGTGAAGCATATGGAGGAAGCCGATCGCCCCCATCCAGCAACACAACACAAACACAACAGCGAGGGTTTCTCTATTGTTAAAGCCGATCGCCCCCATCTAGCACAACACAAGACAAACACAAACACAACAGTGCTCCACTCCCATGGCGATGGCGAGGCCGCTGCTTCAGCTGTGCACGTTGCTCTCTTGCCTCTTCTTCATCGTCCCCGTTGCTGCTCGTCCTCCGGTCGTCCCCATTGCTGCTCGTCCTCCACCAGCTTGCTCGGGGACAGGTAATATACTACTAAAGTTCCCCGCTGTATATATATACACGTACTATTAATTAAGGACCACGGAGCGAGGCAAAGGAAAGTTATTAGGGCAGTCCTAATGAAATAAACTAGTAGTTTCTATAACATAGGATATCGCACCAAAAAAAAGTACTGTTTTTTAACATATGGTTTCTATGAGTAATAATTATTTTCTTTTTCTCTCTCTCCCAACTCTATCTTTTTTCTCCAATGGGAGTGCGGCACGAGCCCCATAGAAACTAGTGGTTTCTCCCCAATGGCGATTTTATGGTTTCTTGGTGCATTGGGTCAAGAGAAGACCTGGTTTCTTCGTGAGGAAACCATTTCTATGATTTTTTCTCTCTTTCTTCATTAACTACATTGCCATGTCAGTATTTTGCCTACGTGGCAAGTCATTTAATAAGGATAGAAACCATCGTCAATACATCGTTGGGACTGCCCTTGTAGGACTGTACAAAAAAAAAACTTGTGATTGATGATGGTTGTTTTGTCTGGTTCGTAGCCTGATGGTTGTTTTTGTCTCCATCTCTGCACTCTGGTTCAACCAATCAAATCAGGTGTCCAGCCCGTAGCTCTGACCAAGCCACTCGAGTTCTGTGGAGGGAAGATCGGTGACCCCACCTGCTGCGACGCGGCAAACGACTCCACCATCCATCTGGCTTTCGTCCACTCCTTCTCCAGGCCGTCCAAGACTCACGACGCCGACGCTGCTTCCTGTGCGGCCCTGGTCAAGCGGAGGCTTTGCGCTGTAAGTAGTACTCTCTACTCCTACCTCCATCCTCTCCAACCTCGTCGTACCTTCTGCCGAATGCCTCCACCCGTCCTCCCAAGCTACCGCCGGCAGTGGTGCTGGTGCAGCATCCAGGGGCAGGGAAAGCGCAGGGTTAAATCGGAGTATCGGGCGCGACCCTGCCCGCCGCCGCCTCCCACCATCGTCCACGGCCGCCGGCGACGCGCCGCCTCGCCGCACCGCCGCCGTCCGCCCCCGGTCGCCGACGAGTCCGAGTCCGCGACTTCGCACGTTCCTGATACCGTATCGCCGGCGTATCAGACCGAATCCGTGTTTCTCTTGTAGGGAGCGGAAGACTACGGAATCATAGTCTCGTTCTATAATAACTTGGTTGGTTGTTATTAGATTATTAGATCTGTGATTCCCAGGTGTTCCTACAATACAACTGCCATTTGGCTAGCCTGTGTGATTCGGAAATGAGGTCCGGCTTCCTTAATTTCCAAGTTTTCGTTCTAGTCTCGTTCTGTAGCTAGTTTCTTCAGAGACGGTCCTTTTTTTTTTGCTTCCTTAATTTGGAAGCTATCGCTCTAGTATTCTTATGTAACTAGTTTGTTCAGATACTTCTTCTGGCTTGCTACTTCTTGATCCACCTGGCGCAATAGCAAACTTGCTTGATCGTCAGTCTATGCTTCAAGAAGTATCTGAATTTCTTTGAAAATGTGTTCTCATTTTTTGTTGGAACAAACCAATCAGTTTCATCATGTTATACAGCATTTCCTTTATTCTTTTGTTTGAGGAAAATATTGGCCCTTAAATGATAGCACAGAAACAGGTTTGCTCCATCTGATAGAAGTAATATACTCAATCCATCCCAAATTGTAAGACGTTTGACTTTTTTGACACCAAGTTTGACTACTCTGCCTTATTCAAGAATTTGTAAAATATCACTTCTTTCGTCGTGGTTTGGTTTATTAATAAAATTTTTCAAGAATGACTTAAATTTGACTATATTTGTACAAATTTTTTGAATAAGACGAGTGGTCAAACTTGGGGAAAAAAAAGTCAAACGTCCTACAATTTGGGATGGAGAGAGTATTTCCCTTAAAAAAGAAGGTATAAGTGACCAAATAACCACCATGAGGTTGGTTTGGTGTGATTTTAACTCTCAATTTTCAGTACCATTTAGTTTATATCCCATAAGTATCAAAATCAGAGTGCTTAGCTCAACCATGTTGGTTGTACAATATAATTTGCCTCTTTTTTGAAGAATGCGCTTTTCCATGAATTTATATTGACGGAAAAAGATAACAGCAATACAAACATTCTGCCTGCTTAACCAAGGTTAAGAGGCACAAAGTGCAGAAGGGGACCAAATGGCTATTAACACAGAGAAAATTTAACTGACACAGTAGGTGGTTCCATTGCTACCATATCAAAAGTTGAACCATGTCAGCATGCAGCGCAGCAAAATCTCAGTTTTAGGGTGATCTGGACTAGTATTAATAAGCGAGGGATGTAAATTAAATTGTGTTGCAGCTGAGGTGAAAAATAAACTGAAAATGGTTTAGGGGGTACTTGGGACATTTTTTTTGAATTTAGGATACATCAAATTGCCATTTTTGGCTGTTTCCATTTCTGTATTTGAGCTATTCAAACCTAAACTGCTTCAGAATTTATTTTATTTTTATAAATATGCACTGAAGGAATGTTGATAGAAATTCAATTAAGCGAAAGGCACACCTTGTTTCAGTTGATATGACTACCCAATACCTACTTTTGATTTTTTTTTCGTGTCCTGTCAATAGCAATGAATATGAGAAATGCATGTATTATTTTTATACGAACAGTTTTTATTATTCATGATACTCCATGGCCCTGAATAAAACTATCCCTTGCACAAAAATAATACTTACACTTGATATGCTAAAGCCAGAGTATATTATGTAAACAACGGTTACCGCTCTACTATACCAACCTTGGTAGATGAACATTCTCTCGGTGGAACTAGGTAGTACAATATATTTTTTTTCACTTTAACATGCTACTTCTTATTAGGCTGTAGAGTTCGGGCCTGCTACTCCTTCTTTGATTGATAATTGACCCAATGCACTTGTTAACTAGCTGCTAATTATTTTTGCGCGTGTTCAGTTTCAAAAATACTTCCAAAAAGTCTTATGCAAGACCACATCGAATCTTTGCGATACGTGTAATGAGCGAAGAATGTTTCAAAAAAAACTAATTACACAGTTTTTGTTGAAAATCGCGAGATCTAACGCTTTTAAGCCTAGTCCATGATTGAATACTATTTACCAAATAAAACGAAAATGTTATAATATCCAAATTTTAACTTTCTCTAACTAAACACAGCCTTTGTATCATACCATCCCCTGCACGCAGGTATGTTTCCCTGCATCTAGGATCCCAGCTGACACCTCACTTCCTGCGCCGTGCGCCGCCTTGGCTCCGGCTCACCTGGGGCCGGCGCCTACGCCTCGTCGTCGCTCCTTGGCCAGTCTGGTGGGCACAGTACTTGGGTCACTGCTGGGTGCCATGGGAGCTGCACTTTTGGCATGGGTGATCTGGAAGAAGATGCTACAGGAAGATTCATCATGCCCCAGCATCAATTGTTCCGCCGTCTGCTCCTGCTCCTGCTGCAACAACAGCACGTGCATTTGGTGCTGCTGCTGAGCCGCTCCTTATCCTGACGATTTCTTTCCTTCTCCCTGTCAGTTGCCTCTTTCAAAATATTTTCTATATGATTTGGTTGATTCAGTATAGCTTGATACTGCATTATTGTGCTGTGAGCAAGGTGTGGATCCGACATGAACTAAGAAGGCATACTTTTTCGGTTTTTCCCATCATTAACTTTCTTCCAACTATCAGAAACCTTGTGCTGTAAACACATCAAGAGCACCTCGCTTCTTTATATTTTTGCTGCAAAGGAAACAGAAAAAAAACAGTATGCACGGCCGCTGCTCTCGGAATATTCCAACCAAGACGGAAATTGACTGAACCAAATATAATTGAAACGACGTCGATGCCCTTGGGGTCCAGAAGGCTTGTATTTTTTCAATAATGGTTGCATAGGACCTAACTGCAAGTATGCTCGCCGCACTTGATCTCTCTGCGACGAGGCGGCGAAGAGCCGACGACCATCATCACTTGTCACTGCTTGCACCGCAGACCATGGGCGGACGGAGGGAGGAAGACCGACGACGAGTCGCGAGGCGAGAAGCGGCGGACCTCGCCGGTGTGCCGTGTTCTGCTCATTTGGGGGCTCCGGGGCAACTGGCGGCGGCGGGCGCTGTGGTGGATCGTGGTAGAGCCGTGGGAACATGGAGGAGTCGCCGAAGTCGGTGCGTGCCCCCTTTACTCAGCCCATTTCGCTCTCGTTGCTGGGTTGCCTGACCATTGGGCTTTGTGGGCTGAAGAATATTTGGGAATTTTGTTTTAGACAGGGGGGGAGGCGGCCGGTGAGAGACACCATTAAGCCAGAATGAGGCCATGCTCCCCACCGCAAACTCTTTCAAATTGGACACGTGGGCATGGGCAAGATAGTGAAGGTGGGGACTGGGAGGGGGAGGAGAGGCAAGGTAGCGATTGTGGACACGAGGCCAACGATGTTGCCCCGATCGCTTGTCCTTATTCAACACTATTTTTCAGCCATGGAACAATATTTTTCTTTCACAATAATTCAAGATAAGAACCGCAGAAGCCAAATTTTAGCATAAGCGAACAAGGTTCACGCTTTCGGGGCATAGTCCATGCCAGCCGCCGCCGAGAGCTGCAGGAGACCTCGCGTGTGCTCGCTCTCCAGCGTCGCGATGGTAGAAGGTGGGTGGGTGGACTAGGGTGCCGCTTTGTTTCATCACGTGTACCTTGCTTGGTGGCGGCGCTGGCATTGCTTCTTTTGCGAGCGACAAGCAGCACGCGTCGGGAACAAGCGGAGGGGAGAGCAGAGGCAGGCGATGTGCATCTTTTATCTACGGCATTGACAAAAAATAAAAATGAGGGGAGAGAGACCTTACAAATTATAATTTCTGACATCTTCGATCTAGGTTAAACACAAAAAACGTGTTCATTTTGTTTGAAGATTTGCAAGAAAAAAAATGGAATCGTTGTTTTTTCCGACATCACCGTTGTACCAAAATAGAATCATTGCACAAATCATCGTCATTTTTAGTCTAATTTAAATGTGTGAAATTTCATTTTAAAATTTGCAAAAACTAAAATAGAACCTGTTGGATTGAATTGAAAGTTGCTCATGAGACTGTTGACCAGTTTGAATAACATGCATCTCTATATGGCTACGTTTGAGAATTTGGAACGTAGTGGCTTATATTCCAAAAATATATATAAATCTTGTGTTGACGCCGATTTGAGTCATACACAGGTAGAGGCTAGATCGCTCAGACGCCACACATGGACTTGCATGCAGCGGAGGGGGGGGGGTGTTCTAAGATTGACAGGGCCACTTACAACGTCCACAAATGCCGTTAAGGAACATATAGGACAACAGATGGTTGGAAGAGATAAAATGTTTAATCGTGTAGTTGGATACCTCAATCAGCCGTGTACCCTATGTTTTATATGGAGAAAGGGTGGTTTTATCCTGTTAGAAAATCAATATGGTACTATTTTCGTGTCCTTTCATAGAGTTTTTCTAAGATTGGCCCAAAACTAGCATGGGTCGATTCTAAAATCAGTCTAGGCCCTAGTGTCAACATCTTGATTTTTATGAGTCAATCAATCTCAAATTCAATAAAACATCTTAAAAATGACATATTTATGGTGTGTAAAAAGTATTATTAGGTTAATTATGAGGGTTTTTTTTATAATAAATGTATTCATTTAAATTAAATATATAAATATTCATACTATTTTCTCTAAGTACATTTTTTCGACGGAGGTGGTACCAACGTGTCGTTTAGTTGACATATTTGTGACGTGAGTTGGGTACAGATGACTTAATAAGAGTCCAAGCTAAGCTGATCCTTGATCCTTGTCCTGCCACTGAGGTGCCACTTGCTGCTTCCGTGTGTTCATTTTTCTATGGTGCAGCATCGTTAATTTGTTATTAGTTTATAGCAATAGCATACAAACAGTTTAGGTAGGCTTCTGAATGTTGGAATGAAATGACCAATTCAGTGGCAAATGGAAGAGGAACCCATCTCTTGTTTGGTCGGCAAGGTTGGGTCCATTCCAGTTTTGCGTTTGGTTAGGAGAATTCCTGGAAGTGGGTTGAGTCATTGACATGTGGGCCCCGTTTGCCAGCGTCTCTTCCCTTCTTTCTCCTCCCGTTGAGGTCACGTGCGCCACTCGCCTTGCGCTACAGGACCCATGGT